TTTTTTGCACAATCACTTCTTTCTGTTCATAGTCCTCTATGGTTTTATGTACATGTGGGATGCAGCTTCAAGGTGGAAAGATTCTTCATCTGGTCAGCATGTCGAGTATGACCAGAGGCCAGATATATTTAGGTTAGTGAAAGTTTTGAAGTGTTTTTGCATGATCCTGGTGTAGTTTTGAGTAATAAATTCAGTTGGTCTTTGATAGAGGCACAATAAGGTATGCAAGTGTGCATGCACACTTGGGTCGTACAGGAAGTAGAAGGGATGATCTTGAATCGCTGGCATACACCTTGATATTTCTTATAAAAGGAAGGTTGCCTTGGCAAGGCTATCAGGTGATTGGCATTATTGCGTAAGTAATTTCTGTGAGCGAATCTTGTTGATTTTGACTTTTTTGTTCTAATTGTTTCTGGCAATGACAGGGAGATAACAAGAGCTTTCTAGTATGTAAAAAGAAAATGAGCACTTCTCCAGAGTTAATGTGTTGCTTTTGCCCTCCCCCGTTCAAACAGTTCCTCGAGACTGTTACTAATATGAAGTTTGATGAGGAACCAAATTATTCTAAGCTGATATCTTTCTTTGATAGTCTCATTGAACCATGCACGTCACTGAGGCCTATAAGAATTGATGGTGCTCTGAAGGTAACACAAAAATTTCGCCTGTGCAATTGAATTAGGTGTGTTAAATACATCCATTTGGCATTTATTTACCTCTGTAACCTTAGGAATGGTGTTCCCCTAATGGGAGAATGATGTGGCACTTAAGGCGAGCAGAGCTGTGCTACCAATACATGATAGTGTTTATCGCATGAACGCCTCTCTGTTTGGGCATACTTTCATTTTAAACTTTCTGGTTTATCACAGGTTGGGCAAAAGCGTGGAAGGTTGCTCATTAACTTGGAAGAAGATGAGCAACCGAAGAAGAAAGTTCGACTCGGTAGCCCTGCTACTCAATGGATTTCAGTCTATAATGCACGCCGTCCAATGAAACAAAGGTGACTGTCTATTTGACTCATTTCGTGCAACTAAAAATTAGGTATGGCATTCAAGACAACATGTATCGCTTCATACTTGTCTGATATTATATCAGCAACTAAGGGTGCAGTTGGATATTAACTAAATCAATTTTTTCATCCGCCAATAAAAAAATACACTTTTTTTTTTCACGTTTTTTCTCTCATTTTTCCCAATACAATGTCTAATCAAAAAACAAGATCATTTTATTTGTGGGGAAAGGCTCTTGTATTTGCTTAAATTTATGCTTCCATGACAATAGATGGTAATATGCAACATGGCAGCCGTTGCTTGGGATTTTTTTGTTTCCTTCTTTTAACTTTGTTTGTTGTGCCTCTTCAACTGTAAGAATTATCTGGTCAGAGAGAAAATCAATAAAATAAATTATCTCTCTTTCTTTAGCTTAATTCTTCATCAGATGTGTGTATAATAATCCTTTTATCGCGAAAAGTGAGTTGTAACTGGTTGGAGGTTTGTCATCTCTACGCGGTCCTTCCAAATTTTTTATGCAAATTTCTTGAGAATTTGTATTTGCATATAGCCGACCTCACTTAGTGGGATTTTAACAGCTTGTTGTTGTTGTATTCGTTCTCACTCAATATATAGAATTTCAACCTAAGAAAGTTGACAACCTCTGCCAACTGAGGTAGGGCTTGTTTTAGCTGTCTTTTTGTTTGTGTCATCTTGTTAGATTTATTTGGTCGCAAAATATTGATATTACTTATTTTGATGATGTCTTAAGCCGTGTTGTATGTATTGTTCTAGTTATTATAACCTTGAGGTCTTCTCTGTAGATACCACTACAATGTGGCGGATTCACGACTACGTCAACATGTGGAGAAGGGAAACGAAGATGGCTTGTATATTAGCTGTGTGGCATCTGCAGCAAATCTTTGGGCCTTGATCATGGATGCCGGAACAGGTTTCAGTTCTCAGGTGTATGAGCTTTCAGCAGTGTTTCTTCATAAGGTTTGTTGGTGCTAGTAGTTTTTATTTGTAATTTTCCTTTTTTTTTTTTTTTTTTTTTTTTTTTTTTTTTTTTTTTTTTTTTTTTTTTTCTGACTTGACCTACTTGTTTATAATATTTTTCCTTCAAATGATATCATCGACAGGATTGGATCATGGAACAGTGGGAGAATAACTATTATATCAGTTCTATAGCTGGTGCAGCTAATGGAAGTTCATTGGTGGTTATGTCTAAAGGTTGGTTGAGGCTTGGGTTTTCTTTCGTCTTTAGACATATTGAGTAAATAATAATAATAAATCTTCTGTAAGTGGTGCTCGGTGAATGTTGCTAAATTAAGAGAACTGAGTGTGTGTTTACCATGTGCATGATAGACTCTAATTGTTTATGTTTATGTTTTTTTTAGGAACTCCATATACTCAGCAGTCATATAAAGTTAGTGAGTCATTTCCATTCAAGTGGATTAATAAAAAGTGGAAGGAAGGTTTCCATGTCACATCAATGACTACTGCTGGAAGTCGATGGGGTGTTGTGATGTCACGAAATTCTGGATATTCTGAACAGGTAAAAAGGAAGGTGATATATATTTATTGTGTTTGCATTTGTATGCGCAAACACTAATGGGTGGCGAATTGAATTGGTTGTTTAGGTTGTAGAGCTTGATTTTCTGTACCCAAGTGAGGGAATACATAGGAGATGGGAAAGTGGGTATAGAATAACAGCAATGGCTGCCACTACTGATCAAGCTGCCTTCATACTTAGCATACCTAGACGGAAGATGATGGATGAGACTCAAGAGACTCTTCGCACATCTGCATTCCCCAGTACCCATGTAAAGGTAGGTTAGGTTACCGTTACACACAACATTTTATAAGTTAATAATACACCCCCTGATTTTTTTAATGTTTTGTTTTTATGCAGGAGAAGTGGTCCAAGAATCTCTACATTGCGTCTATATGTTATGGCCGTACTGTTTGCTGAAGCTGTGTTGTATCATCTGTATTTTGCCTTGAGATGCAAAAATTTTTGAAAGCTGATTGAGAATAGACGTTGGGGCGAAGAAAGAAAAAGGTGATTGTGTCTCAAAGATAATGTCTTAAGGTGTGAAATATTTGTCGTGCTTTTGTGTAAAATGAACAAAGACGCTTTGAAGAACAAACAATCAAACAAGTAAAACTGAAGTTGTGTTGTTGAGGATTATCAGTAGCGCATGTAGTGGGGAATGCTGTTCCCATAACCATGCGTCACTTAACATTTCTTCAACTTTTTTATTAAATGATTTAAGTGTGCCTTTGACTCTCTTGGTCGTGTATATATATATATATATATACATATATTTTTTGCGATTACAATAATAGTAACAATTAATGGAGATTTAAGCTCCGACCGTTACAAAAAGAGACGATAGAAAATATGGGAGACAATCGTTCCATTAGAAGGGTCCTGTCGCCGATAAAGCTCGATTAGCTAATTGGTGGGCAACAATATTATGATTGTTGATGGATGATTTTATTAACCTTGTTGTATATGATGGATGATTTTATTAACCTTGTTCTGCCCCATAAGTTGCTAGAGCCGACTTAAGTCAACTTACCTAAACATTAGATCATTACAAGTTTACGCAAATGTAAATCATTGATCGATCACCATAAAATATATCACTAGGATTCGATCATTTTTTACTTGATTGATCATTCCATGTGCCGTGAGGCTGAAGTTATGTTTGAGCACGAGTAATGGACGGAGCCATCTTGTATTTTATGACTATGGGTATTGATAAGTATTTTATGAATATGGATACTGAATAAGAGACGGGATCGAAATAATCAAATGCTACTAATATCATAATATAGATATATCTAATCCAGTCAAAGAGAGGCACGGCCAAAGGAGACCATTTAACATAAAATGAAATGCCCAAAGCCAAGTGTGGTTCTGCATAAAGTGGGATGTCAAACGTAGGTGACAGCAGCCAATTCCAACTCCCACTCTATACATACATACACAGTTAAGCTGTAACATGGATGAAAACTAATTTAATTTGGCTACAGCAAAACCAGATTACTAGTGTCAAATTAAGAGAGACTAATGATTCTCTCTCCCTCTATGTATATATGGCATGTATGGTTGGACAAAAGAATAGTATATGGATAAATAATAAAATTGGAGCGGATTGAGTGGTGGCTGCCGGAGGAAGAAGATTTTCATGTGAGGGTTTGAGTACGATGATTGTGATTAGGTGCCTTGTTTGTTTCTCATTTCTTTTCCTTTGATCAACTCCCTTGCAAACATCTCCATTTTCTCCATGTTTGTAAACTCACTCACCTTCCTCCCTCTAAACAATACAGATTCCACATTCTTCTGCCCCAACATTTCATCTGCACTGCTCACCATATTAACCGATCCTCCTATTCCATTTCCCTGCAATACCATCCACAGACAATTGACAAACATTTAACATTGGCATGATATCCATAAGTAAGGTAGGTCAAGATAAAGTTTCTCCCACCACTATATATATATATATATATATATATGTGT